TTTTACAGACTGATAGATCTCAATTACTTTGTTTCTCATTTGTTCCTAAATTTCTTTGGATCGCAGCATGATGTCTAGCTTTTGAGGATCTTTTGGTCTACCTCACTTTGTCAGGCAGGTCCTATTTAAGTGATTTCTTGATTGAGAACAGGTGTGGCAGTAATCAGGCCTGGGTGTGGCTAGAGAAATTGAACTCAGCTTTCCAAAGATGTGATAAACCACAGTTAATTCATGTTTTAACGGGGGGGGCCAAATCACTTTTTCACACAGGGCCATGTAGGTTTGGATTTTTTTTTTCCCCTTAATAATAAAAACCTTCATTTAAAAACTGCATTTTGTGTTTACTTGTGTTATCTTTGTCTAATATTTAAATTTGTTTGATGATCTGAAACATTTAAGTGTGACAAACATGCAAAAAAAATAAGAAATCAGGAAGGGGGCAAACACTTTTTCACACAACTGTATAATACTATGTTTTCCCTGTCTTTTAGGGGTTGAGATCTGCATTGCTACTCCGGGTCGTCTCATTGACTTCCTTGAGTGTGGAAAGACTAATTTGCGTCGTTGCACTTATCTGGTGCTGGATGAAGCAGACCGCATGCTGGACATGGGATTTGAACCTCAGATCCGCAAGATAGTGGAACAAATTCGGGTATGTTGTGTTATTTTCACACAATTGACATTATTATTATTATTATTATTATTATTATTATTATTATTATTGAGACAATCTCGGAGTCAAGTAAATTGTCACATCACAAACATGACTACTAACCAGCTGTTATGTTTATGAGAAATATTTTGCCCAGTACCCAAATAAAATAAAGACTTAAAAACAAAGTTCTCCAGAGAGAGGAATTCAATTCATACCCACACAAGTTGACCCAACAGCCTGTGATCAATACTCATTCTTCAGAACTCGATCAGATTAACTGATACTAAATATTAGACTAGTACATCTTTAAATGTGTTAACATTTATATATGAGGGTTACATTTAATTTGAAGCTTCAAAATAGGGCTGAGGTCCTCCTTTTTGTCCTCACCAGCCAGACCGTCAGACCCTGATGTGGAGCGCCACCTGGCCTAAGGAAGTTCGCCAGCTGGCTGAGGACTTCCTGAAGGACTACGTCCAGATCAACATTGGCGCGCTGCAGCTCAGTGCCAACCACAACATCCTGCAGATAGTTGATGTTTGCAATGACATGGAGAAGGAGGACAAGTGAGTAGATGATTCCAACTTCTTTCTTAGCATCGGTCAGTCAACTGATGTGATAAGGGGGGGGGGGGGAAGAGACTTTGTATCAGTCAAACCTACTCAAGTAGAACAGAGTCTGTATTTATTCTCAAAACAATTGCTGAATGTACTTGCATCAGTAGAAATGTAAGGATCAACAAAAAGGCCTGGAGGATTACCTAGGACAATTTAAATGCCACATGTGGCTTGTAAATGCAGCAACTAAAATATGATTAAATGCATAGTTTTGCAAATGATGGAGGTAGCTAAGCAGTGTTCTGATTCATTTCCTTAAATAACATTAGACAATTAACTTTAGTCTTTGTTGTTATTTTATACCTGCAAATAAATACAGCAATCTCTATCGGGGCAGGTTAAATTGACTTGGTGCAAGTGGATATCTAAAAAAAAAAAAAATAACATTAATGTTGAACCCTGAAGGTCTGTTGCTGTGACGGACGATTTTTGTCAAGACAATTTAGCATTTTGTCAACTAAGTTTTGTCTCAACGTCCTCTTTGCCTCGTCTCTGTTAGACTGATCCGTCTGCTGGAGGAGATAATGAGTGAAAAGGAGAACAAGACCATTATTTTTGTTGAGACCAAAAGGCGTTGTGATGAGATCACCAGGAGGATGAGAAGAGATGGGTAAGGATCTCCTTGTTCCTCCTCTCAAAGAGTGTCTCTTTTCCTTATTTTAACTCTTATGTTCATCTTGAAAGTTAAAATTGACGCTATGTTAAATGATGCCTTGTTTTTCCCCTTATTGCTCCTACTTGTTGTTGCATTCGTGTTTATTGTTCAATCCGTCTGTCACAGGTGGCCAGCAATGGGGATTCATGGAGACAAGAGCCAGCAGGAGAGGGACTGGGTCCTTAACGGTTAGATTTGATAAATCACATCCCAAGTTACAATTTTAAAATATTTAACCATCACAGGCTGCTCTGCAACTGAATTAAATCCCGTCCATCTCCCTTCAGAGTTCAGATATGGCAAAGCTCCAATCCTCATCGCTACAGATGTGGCCTCCCGTGGCTTGGGTCAGTATGCCATTGAGTATCACCACTTTCTTATCAGTGTTACACTTACTTTAAAGAAAGTGGTTTTGCTTTCTTTAACTTTTCTATGCATTTTCTGAGTTTTTCTCACCTTAAGGTGGAGTCTTTGTGGCAGGCGCTAGGCATGACAGTCCCAGGCCTCGAGAGGGAGAAGGATGACATAGTGGAAGTGCTCAACTGGCTTGCCACCCAGTGGGCCTAGAGAGGCGAAAGCTCTTGTGTGCCAGTGAACTTCAAAAGGCTGCGTGGCTAAGCCTTTGGCTCTATGTTGGTGAAATACACACACATCTGTTCTCTGTCCATGGATTTCACCTGACAAACAGCATCCAGCTGTTTCCAACTCAAACGTTTAAAAACAGAAAAAAAAGAAAGATATGCTTGATGTTGTGACTTTTGCCTTGCATACTGTTGTGTTAGAGAGCGCTGTATTGCAAGTCACTTGTTTGAGATTTGGAACAATTGTTACCTTTCGGAGCTTGTATCACATAGCATGGGTGCTTGAGAGCCTGTCTTAAGCTTTCAGTTGTTTTCTTTTCCCGTCAAAGTGCTGGATTTCTTGAAATGGAGAGAGCAGTTTGAAATCTTTTATTTGTCTCTGAAAATTGACGAGACCTGGCACATGTGTTTTAGGGGGTAGTGGGAACATCTAGTGAGAGGAGAAAGAGAGTGAGACAACTCAAACCAAAGTTCCTCCCTCGCCTGCGTTTTAAAGTCATGTCGAGACCTGCCAACGAGAGACATTTTCTCAAGTGAACACTGGCTTCTTGGAAGATCTTGCCTTGATGAGACGGATGAAGTGGGTGGGGGGAATTGTGCCGTGCTCGGTGAGGGGTCCCACGAGGTTCATGTCTTGGGCCTTTTACATTTTTTTTTTTTTTTTTTTTTTTTTTTTTTTTTTTTTTTTTTTTTTTTCTTTTCTTTTTTGGAAGGGGCCCCTGTTCAAATTAGCACTTGGTCTATTTTGTCTTGGCAAGACGTGCAGTGCGGCCTTTAATATCAAGCTTCTTTTGAGAGTGTACTGGGAAAAACGGACCTGCAAAAATGTACCCCTGAATGGTCCTATATTGGCACATGAGGAGGCCCCAGTGCATATCGTGGCCCGACTGCGTAGAAGCTCCTGGATGTCACTTGACAATTTGTGGGGGATTTCGCTGCATTGGGAAAGGACTAGTGAATGCATACTCCTTTATGGTAAGACTTAAATCATTTGTTTTTTTCTCCCTTGGTTAACAAAAGGGAGAGTGAATGTCGTTTGGATCTTTTTGATTATGGTAAGCAATTGGAGTGTGCATCGTTTCTCTCTTCCCACAGTAGTATTCCCATGGAGTAGATGTATGCACAATCTTATGTTGTTTTTAACATGTTTTCCCTCCACAGCCTCATGACCATTTTCTTTCCCCAGCCTCCACAGTTGCTAACTTTTCCCTTTGATCTGGCTGTTGTGGTGTGCAAAATCCTGTGTGGCCTCCATGTTTTGTTTTGCCACACTGCAACACTTTCACAGATGTGGAGGATGTGAAATTTGTCATCAATTATGACTACCCTAACTCCTCCGAGGATTATATCCATCGCATTGGACGCACAGCCCGAAGTCAAAAAACGGGCACAGCCTACACCTTCTTCACCCCCAACAACATGAAACAGGCCAGTGACCTGATCTCTGTGCTCCGCGAGGCCAATCAGGCCATTAACCCCAAGCTCATCCAGATGTCAGAGGACAGAGGAGGTAAAATCCGACACTTGTTTACATTAATAATGTTTTTTTAAGGAAGGACTAGTATAGCTTTTAGTAGTCAATACCCCTGCTGATTCATTTGTCTATTTATATTACTGATTGTTATTGTATGCTGCTTTATTTGGAGCTTATACCCTCCTTTAAATTAAATGATATAATCTTCGACTTGTCTCAAAAGACCCTTTTTTAGACCTCTTCACGTAATGTCTTCCCCTTTTGTCCCTGTATTGTCTTCCTCTCATGCAGGTCGTGGTAGGGGGGGAAGAGGTGGCTACAAGGATGACCGTCGGGATAGGTATTCTGGGGGCGGGAGGAGCAACTTTGGTGGTAGTAGCTACAGGGACAGGGACAGCGATAGAGGGTTTGGCAATGGGCCGAAGAGTGCCTTTGGTGGCAATAAGGCTCAAAATGGTGGCAGCTATGGTGGTAACAGTGGCGATTCTAGTGGTAGCTATGGTAGCAACAATTACAGCAACAGCAATGGACAGGGTAATTTTGGTGCTCCGGCAAATCAGGTGGGTGCCTTTGGTAGCCAAAGCTTCCAGGGGCCCCCTCAATTTGGGGCCATGCAGAGGGCCGGTCAGAATGGTATGAACCACCCACCATTCCCATTCAACTCTCAGCCACCACCACCACAGGCCCAACAGCCACCACCTCCACCACCAATGGTGCCCTACCCCATGCCACCACCCTTCCCACAGTAGATATGATATACGCACAATATATGGAACCAACATGATTTTGGTTTAGTCTTGAAATCTTACAGTATGATGCTTATTATTATTATTATTATTATTATTATTATTATCCTTTGTACTGTTTAACTTTGTTTTGCTTACAGCAGGGTTGGAATTATTCCGTAAACCCAGAGCATTAAATGGAGTCATAGACAGGTCTCCTAGTGCAATTATGATTGCCGCACTTTTTCCTTGACTGTTTTTTTTTGGGTTACATTCCTCGGTAATTTATTTTTACTAGGTAATGCAGTGTTTTCAGTTAGTGGTATGTTTTTAAAGTGATGTTATGAATTGTATAAAAAGGGTGCGTGAGACCCTTTTCAATAAAAATAAGAAAATTGGACCTGTGTGTTGTGTGGAATTAAGAATGAATTATAGAACTGACCTGGTAACTGTAAACCACACGTGTGAACATGGCAGTATCGGTGTTGCTTCATTCATGAGCCAGAGGCCTGAACACATTTGTAATGTCACCTTAGAGGTTGCACAGAGGAGGATGAAAGAAAATTACACTTTGCATTAGTACACCAATATTGAACAGACTTATAAGAAACAATGCAGCACAGCAATTTAAGCTAAGCACATTATTAAGCATCATGAAATAATAAAATTACCACTTTAGTTTAGGGCTGCAGTTGCCATGTAGAACGCTGAAGTCATGTCCTTAACTGTTCATTGGTTTATGTTTTGTTGTCTGGTTGCAGTTTTACTTTAACTTCATTTTTAAGTGAGTACTAAAAGATCTTGATCCTACTACTTTTAAGCAAACAATAAATAACGTATTTCCTCGCCAGCATTTTACTGTAGACAAGAGATGAGGCTTCTAAAACCATTGTATAAGAAGTAGTTTTAGTTTATTGAGCTCACTTGGAATATTTTTGGTGTTCATTTTTTATCAAAATTATGGAAAGCAACGCTATAAGTAAAAGAATTGTGATTTATTTTTTATTTTTTAATAAATAAAGACTTCTTTTTTTTTCAGTGAACAAGACACCAATACACCGACTGTATTTAAGTTTGGTTATTTCAGAATGACACTGAATGCATCACGTTGCCATAACACCTGATTGAAGCATTTGTAACCCGGATGTAAAGATATCACTTCCGGGTCGTACATCACATGTAACTCCTGTGTGAATTCAAACAGTTGTCCACCGGCCATCATCATTGAACATTAACTGTGTGACCAAAAAAAGTGCCAGGCGAGTGCATTCTGTGTTAAATGTACCGGTATGCTCCAGCATTTACGTAATGTAGCCATGTAGCCTTAATACCGTGAACTAGTGACGGTATGCGACCAACGCTCAACAGGCAGATGATGAAGGCACCTCTCACTGAGCTCGTGTTTTTGTGTTCAACAGAAACAGTTAACTCTATTTTTGCTTCAAGTGTGATTGCTTGCTCGATTAATGCCTAGCTAACAGTTTATTTGACATTAGCATTTAGGGTTCACTTGGACTTTACTCATGAGGAGTCATCACTTCAATAGACAATCTTTGGCTTTACTTCTCTCAAGCTTTTCGTCATGTTATCTTGCTGTGTCAGAAACGTCCTATGCACATTAAAACCCCCACCATGCATTGCAACACTGGCTCTGCAACACTCCAGGAGACACTGCAGTACGTCATCATGTGAGGACTTGGATCAGGTCAGCACTTTGCTGCAGCTCTGTGTGGACAGACACTATGTCTCACCAGGTCAGACTAACACCGAGCTGTTCCAGCGGGGCATGAGCTGCGTCTATGGGCCTCTGGGCACGGAGCTGAGGAGAAACCTGCTGGAGCAGTGGTGGCACTCTGTGACCAGCTCCTCGGCTCAGGTGTTTGGGATAAACACCATGAGCAGCAGCAAGGACGCAGCAGCAGATGGACGGGGGCAGCTGAGGATTGTTGAGTCTGACTATTTGAAACACATTCTTGAACAGCAAGAACTGAGCAAGGAGCAGCTCGTCCAGGAGGTACAGGCGCTCATTCAGAGGTCCCCCTCTCTGAGGACAGACTTTCTACAAGGTAGAGTGCTGCATATTCCAGAGGGACTCACTGTTTGATTGTTGTGACATTGATGTGTTTGCACGAGTACTTGCACTACTATACTGTATGATGATTATAGATAGACCACCCTTGGTTCAGAAAAAACGATACAGTAAAATGATGAATAATTGGTAGTCTTAAGGGACTTTCTTGGCCTTGGTTGAGTCTATCCTAGTTCACCTATCAACTATTATATTTAGGTTAAGGGTTAAGATTAGGACTTCCTGGGTACTTGGGTTTGTACCTTAGATGATGTCAGTCTGTAAACCACTGCTTAGAACCACATTTTTCAGAGGGACAAAAGGATAGCGCATCTCTCTTTGGAACATGACTGATGGCACCTATCCTCAACTTGTAGCAAAACAGTCAAATGAAACAATGTTTGTCACCTAATTACCTTCTATGTTGGAAGTACAAAATTAGAATTAATCGTATGCAAAATGAACAGCTATTAAGTCTCGTTTGTTCTCAGGTGCGTTGGAGCAAATTGTCCCCTCGATGGAGCTGGTGAACAGGAAGCTACCCTTTGGCCTGGCTGAGACTGGTCTGTGTTTCCAGCCCTCGGATGGCTCTGGTTGGTGAGGCTTCATCTACCGTCCCTCCGTCCGCATGTGTAGTCACACACTTGTGAAAAAGTTTATTCTCTCATTATGGAACTCGTGCAAATACATTTTCCCCCTTTGTACTTATTGTTGCTTGATGATTTTATGTTAATACCACCTGTGTGTTACATGAAGGCAAGTATTTTGGCCACAGTAATCAAGTAGTCTGTGTCTTCACTGGCAAAATAATAAGCTTTTCAACCCACTCCTCTTGGGGATGCTAGCAATATGCCCAACTCACTGACTGCTAATCCTATGGTCCATCAATACGAACATGTATTATATGTATTCATATTACAGACTCTTATTTTTGGGTTTTTTTGTCGCCATTTTGATGGATATGAATGATATCAATAACTGTTTGCATTTAAGTTGTTGTATGCTGTTCATTATTTAACCACTAGAGGGCAAGCTGGCCCCATTTTTCTGAGACAGTAGACATTTGTGCTTTCTATTTCATAACAAATTAGTGCTATTTAAATACAGTAAACGACTAAAAAAAGAATATGAGTAGTGCTACTGTAATTGTAATGTAATGGTTCTGTTTCTGCCAGCCCAGCTGAGGTGACCCAGACGTCTCTGGTGTGGTTCTGCTCTCCTCGGACCTCTTCCCACTGGCTGGATCACTGGGCGAGACAGAGACTGAAGTGGTGGAGGAAAGTGAGTGTTAAATAAGAGGAAGTATTTCACAAGTATTTCAGAGCACTCAATGTAAGCTGAACAGATCCCCATCATCACTCAGATACACACACAGCTTTCACATGGTGAAAACAGTATGTAGAAAATATTCTTGTGTTTTACTTGGATTACAATATATTTATAACCACAAGGTGGTTTCGGAGTGCATTACTTGCATGTATTGTGCAGCGCTAACTGGAGCACAAAAAGGGTTGTTTTCCTGTTTTCATGGGCTATTTACATTAAATGAGCAGTCTAATCTTATGACTTCCCATCATTGATACTTATTTCTATTACTTGAAGATACACTCCCTGATATACCTGGAGGGCCCAAACACAACATTTCTCCCCAGAGGGCGACTAGATAGGAGGAGATTTGGGTCGCAGTCGAGCAGTGTATCTTTAAATTATTACTATATTAACATAACTTCCGTTACATGAAATCAGGCCAACCCATGTCTTTCCAGTTCGCCCGGTCTCCATCAGACTTCAGCAGTAGTGACGTCCCAGTGGAGGAACTCCAGGGGGCGGCGTCTCGCGGTGTGAGGATCAGCTACAGCTTCCCGTGGGGACAGGAGCCCCTGGAGACGCTGTGGAGCAGAGGACACGCCGAGCTGCTGCAGACACACAAAGGAGTCCGTTCCAAACTACAGGTCAGTCTGCTTGTCTTCATGTGCATACTGTCATTTTTTTGTTGTTGTTTGCAGACTCGCTATGTCTGCATTCAGTTTCTTACCCCGTCAGGCTGCCATTGCCAAAAAGTCACATAGAAGGTGTAGAAGCTAGCAGTCAGCAAAACCCCAAATTATGTGGCCCTCACAATGAAATCAGAAATTTTCCTGATAGGCCTTTTTTCACAGAAGACATTTTGACACGTCAGGAAAAGCACAGGATGAAAGGAATGAGTAGATGAAGCCATTGATGTTTCAAAGATCGATATACACAAGCACCTATTCACTGCTGTTGTTGCCATTCTTCATGGTGACCACACGCAGTTTCTAAACACAATTTCAGTTTCGAGATGGTCGTAAGTCGGTTCCTCATGTCGTCTCGGTAAGCGGGAACATGGACCGCGGTGTGAAGGCCTTTCTGTCCAACTCACTCCAGCAGCTCAAGAAACAAGACAGCAAGCAGAAGCTGCTGAGGAGAAAGGTGATGACCCACGTGTTAAACACGATGATATACTGTATTCCACTGTCTCACTTGACACTTCCCCTTTCTTTTGTGACGTGATCCTTTTGTCACTATTTTTTGGTTCGCTGTTGATTTCAGGTCCTGAAGCTGCACCCAGTGTTGGCTCCGGTCAAAGTGGCTTTAGACATCGGCAGGGGAGCCACTATGGAGCTGAGGCGGGTAAGAAACACATCTGTAAACATCGATGATTAATTGATTTTTTTAATCTTGATTAAATCTGTGAATACATATGTAAAAAGTGAGTCATGTGCTCTGTGAAAAGGATCATTCAAGTGACTGTGATTTAAGCGATAGTGACAGTCGATTAAAGAGCATTTGATTGTTTTGTAGGTTTGTGAAGGGCTGCTGCAGGAGTTTATGGAGGCTAAGATCCCTGCGTGGCCTGGGTATCTCGACACTCTGCCAACGTCAATGGAGCAGCTGAACACAAAGTAAAGTGCAAATTCAGTGTTGCAAAGTTCCTCATTAGGAGCGAATCATCTCTTGCTGTAGACTGACTCTGTGTCGATGCGTTGTAGGTATGACGAGATGGGAGTGCTGTTCACTGTGGTGATCAGTGAGAACACGCTGGAGAGCGGCCTCCTCCAAGTCCGCAGCAGAGACACCACCATCAGAGAGACCAAGCACATCTCTGAGATCAAGAACTTTCTCTCCAGATACATTTCTGCTGCCGACAACATCTGAGTGGACTTTTTGTTTTGGCAACTAAAAGGAAAAGTCTAAATATTGTGCTGCATCCTTTCCTGGTGAGGAATATTTCTTCAGAGCGGAGCATTTAATGGAAATTAGTCTTTTCCAGAATTACTTTTGGCTCAGTGTGACCTCAGTGTGTTTAGGTGAATTTCGCTGATTGGTGGTAATTCTGTACCTCGTTTTTTAAAAGGCTAAGAAACTTTTTTTGTGACATTTGAAAAAGAAGATTTGTGTAATTTCATGTGGACTTACCCAAGGTGCATGTACCCCCAGTTTTTTATTGGGTATGACTTGAGGACTTCCACTCACCCTACGGTCTCCCTCAGTACTTCCAAGGCAAAGATGTGGCTCAGTGCATGTCTCACTGTCTGAATTCAACAGGGTGGTATTTACATGATTGGAGGAGGATTGGGATCAGTGTTTGCTCAGGTTTCTGTCTCGCTCTGTATTAAAGTACACAGTGTCTCTTAAATATCAGATTTCTTTGTTTGTCGGTTTGTTATTGTCCTTGTGCTCCCTGTTAGTTGTCGTACATTAGTTTATTATTAATGTGCCACTTGTGAATCAATGCTTCTCTTGAGGTTCAAAGATCGTTGTTGACCCTGGAAAAACAGTCTCCCCTCAAAGTCCATTTTGTAGCTGTTCATGAGCGTTCAATCATATTAGATGATCTTCATCATATTTCATATATCTATAAACTCTATGCAACAGGGACTTTGAATTAATAATCATCTATTATCACTCCGGACAGATAGTTCATCATATGTATAATGCTGAATAGTGGGTTAATATTTCATAATTACTTTCTCTCTTGATTTCCTCTTTTGCTGTATTCCGTTATGACCGAGTTTTACTTCATTATAGATGATATGCTGCTTATCAGTGCTCTGTGATATGTAATATATTGGGGATTTTGTTACATTTCAGTAGCAGCCGTTAATGTATATGCTTCAATCAAAAATTATTTACTTATTTTTGGGAGCTATGTCGATTATTTTCCTGTGGAGGCAACACTGCACAGTTTTGAGCCAGTAACACGCGCCACGGTCTGACTGAGACACACAGGCACATCCGCTAAATCTCGCGAGGTTTGGCGGTAGCTTCGCCCCTCCCTTTTCCGTCAATGGTCCCTGGTCCTACCGCTTACTGAGCATGTGTATGCGCCGCTTAGCTGTTAGCATTTAGAGATGGCCTCAGACAAGCAAAACGACGCTAAATTGTCCTCCACGGATGAAAACAAAGGAAAGTCATCGGATGGAGGACTTGGACTCGAAAGTATCCTTCACAGCACCAGACGTGCAGCGGTGGTTTTGTTTTTGCTGCAGTTTATCTGTGTCAGGCTCAGAAGCCGCAGGTAGCTCGCTAGCTAGCTCTGTTATAGTATAACGTTAGCTCGCGTTATTAGGCTACGTGTCATACTGAAGCAGGCTGTCAGTGGCTCTCCTGAAGAGCATATTCATTTGGCTTATCTCAAACTTTGATTTACAAGTCCAAGGACGGCAAATAAGCCAAGCATGTCAGTAACCGTGTACTGCCATAGACGTGTTCACTTGTCTTGAGTTTCAGTAGCAGCTAACTTACGTTGCCGTTTCTGCAACATATCACAGCACCACAGTCACACTTTCTGGGTGTGTAAGTGCAGTGCTAGCATGGCTGACATACTTTAATATGAATGACAAATGTACTACCGTGTGTGATGATAAAGAGAAGGTTGGCCCTTTAACATTGATTCGCAGTTTTGCAAATAATCAAGGAGTCCCAGCAGCAGCATGGTCTCCGGCACGGAGACTACCAGAGATACCGGTGAGCTGTGCTCAGTCATACTTCCCCCATAATACTGCATTAACTGTAGCTGTGTGGATGTCTGTGGTGAACTGTCGAGTAGTGTGTTGCTTTTCACAGTGGTGCGCAGTTTTTTCATGATCACAAGCCCTTCGTTGGCCATATCTGTTAACTTTTTATATAAACAGATGTTAACTTCTATTAGTGACATTTGTTCTCTTAATTACTGTTTTTATTCTGGAGACCAAATCCTTGTTTTCTGCACATAGAATAAACTGTTTGCATGGAAACCTCTGCTACCATATGGCTCACATGAGACTGGTGTACAAATGTCTCTTAATACCAATTTTAATTAACCACACTTGTACAATCTAACAGTCTAATACACATTTTCTACCGCCACTACTTTTAACTCAATTAATAAATCAAGAAAGAAAATACCAAATCTTCCTCGATTTAGGATATTTTTTCAAAGAAATCCTTGACTTTGTGGACTATTTGTGGAAATTGATTGTGTGCTTGTTGTGTCCATTGAGAAAAACCGAGATGGAAATGTGCACGTATGTGTTATTAATTGAATGTAATGTAAACATCTTTGTGTACCTGTGTGCAGGGGTTACTGTTCCCGTAGACTGCGTCGCCTGCGCAAGACTCTTGGTTTCAGGATGGGCAACCGACACAAGTTCATTGGGAAGAAAATAACTGTCGAAATGCTTTCTGACAGCAGGTGAGGAATGGAATGTCTGACCTTCATGTGCAGTTAACTGCCTGGTATACAGTAAATATAGGTTAGACATACAAACCCTGTGTTTGATGCAGGATAATGATTGCACATCACACAGCAGTTTGTCCCCTTCCTATCAAAATGTGTCTTATCTACGTAAGAGGTTCTCAACCTTTTGTAGCTTAATGCTTTGTGTTATGTTAACAAAGGTTGTCTAGCTAACAGTGAAAGCATGTTTGTTTCCAAGATAAATTGCTGACTGTCGACTTCGGATATAAATTGTGAAAATGTGCGTCCAAGGAAATGATGCACGGACCTTCCCTTCTCCAGGTATTTGTTGCTGGTTTTGATGGAGGCCGAGCGTGCGTGGAGTTACGCCATGCAGCTGAAGCAGGAGGCTAACACGGAGCCACGCAAGCGCTTCCACCTGCTGGCACGACTACGCAAGGCTGCCAAGCACAGCGAGAAACTGGAGAAGCTCTGCGAGAGCCCGCGCGTCGACGCCAAGACCAAACTTGAGGCGCAGGTACACAGTACAGAGTCGCCTTCAACCTGCTTTAAGGGACACAGAATTTATCATTTGAAATTAATAATGGCATGTGTATTTCATTTCAGGCCTACACTGCATACCTGACTGGTATGGTGGAGTTTGAACTGCAGGAGTGGAAGCTCGCCATGGAGGCCTTCAACAAGTGCAAGTGAGTTTTAACAGCGCTGCAGTTCCGTAATACTTTGGCAGAATAAGTGTCTGTTTGACATGTTTGAATCTTTATGACTTTTGGGAATTTCTAAACAACCCCATTTTGGTCTTGTCAGGACCATCTATGAGAAGCTGGCCAGTGCTTTCACAGAGGAGCTGGCAGTTCTGTATCGCCAGCGTGTGGACGAGATATCGCCCAACATCCGCTACTGTGCTTACAACATCGGTGAGTAACGCACAAGCACACGTACGGGGGAAACTTATCCCTCTCAACACAGCTGCTGCCCGTCCTAGACTTTTTTTAGGAATCCAGAGATGTATCACTTTCCTCTCCAACACACACACACACACACACCATGTAACTGGATCTTATTTTTCTATCTGATTGCAGGTGACCAGAACGCCATCAATGACTTGATGCAGATGAGACTGACTGGAGGAGGAGGAGGCATGATGGCTGAGAAACTAGAGGTGAACAAACAGGAGTTGAACATTAGTTTATGTTCTTGTATCATCAGTCATCTTTCTTATATCGGTGATGCCTAATATCATGTCAAGGTCCAGCCAACACACACATTTGCTCCTCAACTTTATTCTCAGTTAAAAAAAAAAAAAAAAGCCGAGCAAATTTGTGTGCATATATATATAT